TCCCGGTGGTCTCAAGCGCTACGCAAAAGAGCTAGCACGAGTGCGAGTAGCGACACTGTTGGAAGCCCTCATTCGAGGGCCAAGAGCATCGGCGGCACTACAGATCTTGAGGGCCCGATCTCTCCCCTTGAAGGAGCCCTTTCTCGTCTGACGGGCTCGATGCGATCCAAGCGCGCAACAGCGATTGAAGAGCCCGGCGCCAGAGGGCCAGTCTCATCGATCGTCAAGCGAGGCTCGCAGAACACTTATAGAGTCGACGGTGGCACACTGACCCAACAACAATCTGACAATAGGCGTTCTCAAACTCATCGAAGAATCGTTTCGCTCGGGGCTTCCGATGTAGCTCGCCTGCGCAACATGTCGGAGTCAGCTCGTGGTGCAGTTCCCACGAAATCAGGCAAAGCAGCTGCACTTCGCTCGCGCGGTCGTGCAGAGCCTGCGTCCTTCACCGCTAGTGTCCATGAGGGTCTGATCGTGTCGGAGGCGATGGCAGTATCGGCGCTAGACACGTCGGTGAATCAGGAGACCATGCACCACGCTCAGAGCGTCCCCAATTCTCTGGCGTCAACTCTCACAGTGCCCCAAGTAGATTCGCATCGCTCGTCGACGGACACTTTGAAGGCGCATTCATCTGAGGATACGCCGCCATCGCTCCGCCCCATCCACAGCCGCAAAGCTTCAGCTGGCCTCTCGAAGCTTGCCGCGGCAGCGTTGCGACGACCGCGTGCATCGTCCGTGGAGAAACGCGAGCTGCCTACCAGGGCAGGCACGTCTATGGGATTCAATAGTGACGCCTCTGACAAAAGACTGGATCAGGCAAGTGCCTTGCCCCCGCGGCTCTCGACGAAATCGACTGCAGGGCCAGTCTCTGGCTCGCATGTGCACTCGCGAGAGAGCAGTGTCGCCGGGTCAAGCGAGGCTAGTTTCCGCAGCGCCCGCTCAAAAGACACGCCTTCTCAGTCTCCAGAGCGGCGCACGTCTCCCTCGAGCGCCAAGACATTTGCACGTCTGCGCACGTCGTCCACGCTCACCAAGCCTACCATTGCATCGGCCGCTCGGGCGCGCAAGGTAGCAGAAGAAGATCTGCACGTCCCTGGTCGCAACGCAGCTGGACCTCGACACATGAGCGGACCTGCCGCTCCTACAAATCTTGGTGACTTTCCAAGCCGTGCGAATGTCCGCCCTACGCGCGGTGGAACGCTGTACGGCGACCCTTCTGGAGTTGCACCGGGCGGCCCAATCTTCAAGACGGCGCAGACAAAGGCTGGCGCCCCGTCTTATCCTCCCTCGACAAGCCGCACAAGACGCAAGTCGACAGATCCCTCCGAGCGTCTTAATATGCTTTCAAAGCAGGTCATTTCTGACGGAAAGGATGCGTCCGCCCTCTCTGCGCTTGCCGTCTCGGACACCGAGGACGAACCTTTGCACCCACCCCGCACATCATCGCGAACCAACAGCTCATACTTTGCCAACAGAAAGGTCGTCCACGATTCGCTACCAAAGCCTAGCGACTATGGTCGTAGTGGCGGGCCAAAGCTTCGCAAAGCAGCTAGTCGACCATCGCTGTCCATCGACACTGATGTAGAGACGCTAGTGAGTCCAACGCGCCCAGCTTCGTCCTTGGACACCAGATCCAAAATTCGTACGCAAGAGCTGGAAAGCCCTGTTCGCAGGGGCGGAACCGCTGCTAGGCGCAAATCGTCTGGTGCAACGCTGAGCATTGCGGACGATAGGGAATTTCTGAAGGCTTTAGAGGATGTACGAAAGCGCAATCAGCAACGCATAGCCGCCAAAATGCTTGTCGAGAGCCCACATTGCGTGCACTTGCACGCTGCTTCTGCTGTGCACCTGCCACTGAGGTCCGAATCGAAGGCGGCCGAGCCTTCAAGCGGTGCTTCGAAACAATCGATACACGCTCGACGACCTCGATCGGCAAGCGTGGGCGATCAAGCAACGGGCGCACCGGCCAGATCTGATTGGCAGCGCAGCTCGTCTGAGATGAGGGCCACGCGCGAATCAGACTCGGACTCGGAAGCAAACGCGGTGCCAACTCCTCTGGAGCGCGGGGTGGGCATGGCAAGTGGTCGCCTGCGAGACGGCGCGTTCGTCAATGACGATGACTGGAAGCGCGAAGTTTCGAGCCTTTTTGTCATCCGCGAGATGGTTCAGACAGAACGCAGCTACACTCGCAACCTGGAGAGTCTCATGCAGGTGAGTCTGTGAAATCGACTTCGCCGACACGACGCAAGGCTGACACGCGCCCTCTTGGTCCAGGCTATTCGCCGCGTGTCTGCTGCAGCCTCGCTTGCTGCATCGACACCTGTTGGAGGACATCGTCGACGGTCCTCTGTCGGTTTTGGGCTCTCGGGAGGTCCGGCTGGGAACTCACCCTCTGGCAAGGCCTCGGCGACACAATCAGCGTCTCACCTCTTGCTGATGCGCACCCTGCTACCGCAGCTCATCATAGTCAGCCGGACGCTCGCGACGCGAATCGACGAAAATCCCACAGCAGCTGGCGTTGGCGAAGCGTTCCGGATCGTCGCTCCACAACTCGAGGCCAGCTTCCTGTCATGGTCGTCTTCTGTGGGCGAGATCATGGATGCGCTGCGCCTGACAGAGGGAGCGAAGGGCAGAAAAGGCGACAAGATAGGTTTGGTCAGCCTAGTACCCATTGCTGGCCAGCCCACGGCGGACCACGCCGCAGATGGTCCGGCTTCTGCAACAAACACGCATTCAGCACATGCAGCTCTACATCACAGCTCGACCAGTATCGAGGCGTTAGCTCTTACTCGACCTTCCTCGCCTGTATCGAATGGAACGCAAGGATTAACTGCTTCCCCAACTTCCATCGAGTCTCCCGCGTCGTCGGCCAAGGCTAGCTCTTCACCCCTTGCTCGTAGACGGAGCACTGTGAGCGCTGGCTCTGACTGGTCGTCGGTCCGCCGCGCCTCAGAATCGGTGGCTGCTCCATCACCCACTCGGCCGTCTGCATGGAGTCTCAATCCCGCAACTTCATTTGGGCTACGCGCATTGGGCGGTTCTAAATCGACATTGCCCAGCAAAGGACCTGGCACAGTTGCCAAATTCGCAGGAATCAGCAACGCACCTTCAGCGTCAACTGCGAAGTCGTTGGCGCCTGCAGACATCGTTATCCAGCCGACTCAGCGCTTGCCTCGCTATGCCCTGTTGTTGCGCGCATTACAGCAGAACACACCACCTCAGAGCTTGTCTCACGCACGCATCGAGCGCGCTCTTCACACAGTCAACCGCATTTCGACGCTTTGCGACACGGCTGCGCAAACCATAGCTCAGCCAGACCCAACCCCAGGCAAAACGGCTGCTGTCGCATCCTTGCGAAATGCTGCAGCATCGACCAAGGCTTGAAACTCAACACCTCCTCATCGCTGATTCCATCCAATGTCCCCCCTCGCAAATGCTTCTGTGCTGCTACATACCCTTGCATTCTCGCCACGAGATGGCGATCCCTTTCATGGTCGCCCCGTCAATGTAACATACTCCCATTCGCACAGCGCGAGTCCAAAAGCATGCATTGCGCTTACGAGTTTATGGGAACCCCTGTGCACACTATTCCCCACAGGAACTCAGGTCCCGCATCCGAGCACTCCTGAAATGTGGCAGAAAGCGTGCTCTGTGCCTCGATAGAGGGCCATGCACTGCTCAGCTAGGACGAGGCAGATGGCTCATCTAATTTTGACGGCAATGCGGGCTATTGTCGACAGCTGGGCAAGTAGGCTCCTTGCGTGGCTTGAGCCCGACCAGGCTGAGATGGAGGAGACGTCTTGGCGCTTCGTCGTCTTCGCGGCGTGCGCGGCCGCGGAGTGAGGTCCTCGCCCAGACCAGCGGTCCCACGTGAATAGACGGAGGGGACAGCCCCGAATGGATGCGTTCACTGGCATCCGACGACCAAGGGCACCTCGGGCTCCACAGTCAAGGAGTGGCTGCGCAGCCGCCGCCGCCGCTTCTATTGGGTTAGCTGCGCAAGAGGCAACTTTGCTCTGGAAGGTGACGGCCCGAAGAGAGGTGCGAGGCAGCGAGTTCCTCTTCATTAATTAACAAAGTGACGTGCCGGGTGTGGACGGGCCCTGCGACCGAACAGCGTATTAGAGCGGTTGAGCAGATAAGCCTTTTCCAATCTCCTGATGACGGTGGCGGATGTTTGGACCTCAGGCGGAAGATGAGCAAAGTGAATGTCTCATGATACACCGACTTTTGATTCAGCTGCAGTGTGCGACTGCCAGGATCGCGAGCGTCCTTAATTGGGTGCATCGCCGCCGTTCAGACTCGGGTGGACCGCTGCATGGCCACGACGATCTGCGCAGACACACCAGCACTGTGCT